TTCTTCTTCTTCTTCTTCTTCTTCTTCTTCTTCTTCTTCTTCTTCTTCTTCTTCTTCTTCTTCTCCTTCTTTCCTTCTCCTTCTTCTCCTCCTTCTCCTCTTTCTCCATCTCCTTCTCCTTCTTCTCCTCCTCTCCTCCTCCTTCTCCTCCTTCCTCTTCTCCTTCTTCTCCTTCTCCTTCTCCTTCTCTGTCTTTTATTTTTAAGAATGAAGAAATGCTGACAGAGTTGAAGGAATGCCTGAGAATATGTTAAAAAAAATACACCATACTGACTGAACTTTTTAAGTTTACCTTTAAAAATGTCTTATTAAAAGTTTGCTGACTTTACTGGGATTACCATGTTTAATGAGAAGCCTCAGGGACTTTAGGCATAAGGGATGAAAAGGGAAAATAGATGCTTTAATAACCATAATTATAAAATCTCATGATTAGCTCAAAGCATTTTTGAAGAAGCATGAGAGAGGAGGTAGTATCACTTTCAATTGGATTGGTTCCTCCAGAAAGCTGCGAAGAGTATGTATGTGAAAAAGATGATTCTTTTACATGCTCTGGTTTGTGCCAACCACTGGGCTAGGTAGGTGATGGGTTTCTAAGGCAAAGATTCATTAGTTAGAAGAAACACTATCACAAGCAGGGGGTCCCAGGATGGGCAGCCTCACAGGACTGAAACACTAAAGGTATGTTCCATTTTAGCTGTTCTAAAACATTGCTGCTTCTAAACTGTTTACCTGATACCTGGTACTAGTAATGAGAAAAAAGACAAATGGCTTCACTCTATCCCAGAAGAGCCATAAGAAAGATCCTTTTCTTCTCCACCTCCTGAGCCAGTCAGCCCAAAGCCAGCAAATGTGCACCCCTAACCACACCCTACCAATGCTTGCCACCCCACTGTAGTGCAGCTGCCTAAGCCTCCCCTGCCAAAAAAACAAAAAAAAAAAAGAAAAAAAGAAAAAACAAACAAACAAAAACACCAAAAAAAAAAAAAACGAGGGCTCCTGTGTTCTGGCTCAATGATCTCATTTTCGCTCTCTGAGAAGACAGCTCCACAGTTCAGAGCACAGCTCCAGCTGTGACTTTGAAAAAGCCAAGGCTGACATCTGAAGACAAGTAAATCCACTTCCCAAAACTGTCCCTCTTGCCTTGGTTGGACTATTAAGGACCAAATGAGATAACATTTGTAAAATTCTTTGTAAGCCTCAAAGAGTTATTCAAATGCTAGCTAGCTAGCTGTTGTTGATATTGTTATTGTCATTGTCGTTGTTATTGTTATCTAGCTTCTCCTACCGTAAACTAGACATACATTAGAGACATTAGAGAAGGAAGACATAGACATTAGAGAAGGAAGTCCTTGATGTTAATCCACATCTAACCCCAAATGCCAGCATTCTATTCTCAAATAATACAAACTAGTTTATAATACGTTAATGTAATATTGACAATTTATGGATTGAAATATAGTAGATTTCTTCATTAAACATTCATTGAATCACAAAATCCTGGTTTTAGAAAGGATTTAGGCTAGTTACTTAAGGTAGGAATGCCT